TGGAATTTGGTGCAGGTAGACTCTCAGGCAATGTGATAATGTCTGGTGAAGTGCGTCTGAATGGCAGGAAAAGAAGGCTTCAATACGGTGTCGTTGTAAGCACAAGTTCTTTAGCTTATTACATAATAATCAATCAAGAAAAGAAAAGAAAAAGAAAAAAAGACATTAGATTGTGTAACTTAATAGTATTAGATTAATAATCAGGTTAAATCAGTGATGAATAATAATAATAATAAAAAACCCAAGACTAATAAGAAATGAATCAGGCTTACGTGACCCAAGAGGACGTGATGCTGGGCACGCTGACCGTCCGGGAGACAATAGCGTACTCAGCGTCACTGCGTCTGCCGAGCTACACGACAAGAGCCGAGCTAACCGAGGCAGTCGAGCAAACGATTGCCGAGATGGGCCTGCAGGAGTGTGGGGACCACGTCATCGGCAACTGGCACCTGAGGGGCATCAGCGGAGGCGAAAAGAAGCGGCTCAGCATTGCCCTCGAGATCATAACGCAGCCGAGCCTCCTGTTCCTGGACGAGCCCACCAGCGGCCTCGACAGTGCATCCGCATTCTTCGTCGTGCAAGCCCTACGCAACATCGCGTGCAAGGGCCGCACCATCGTCTCCTCCATTCACCAGCCGAGCAGCGAGGTTTTCGCGCTCTTTGACGACCTTCTGCTCTTGTCGTCCGGCGAGACTATCTATTTTGGAGAGACTTGTTCTGCAGTCGAGGTACGAAATGTTTTTGTGTGCTTCTAATATGGAGATCTTCTCATTTCCTCATTTTAAAAAAAATAAAATAAAAATATTTGCAGTTCTTTGCGGATGCTGGATTCCCGTGTCCCCACAGAAGGAACCCGTCGGATCATTTCCTTCGTTGTGTTAATTCGGACTTTGACGATGTCACTAAGACTTTGATCGGCTCGCAAAGAATACTGAGAGTGAGTAATTAGTTTGTATGAGTTTAGTACTCTGTTTGTCGCGCGCTGGTCGATATTCTGTAACTGGTGATCTTTATTCCTTGTTGCAGGATATACATGAGGCTCTGATGGGTTCACAAAGGATGAAAGTGAGTAGTGTATCGGAAGTTTTTCTTTGGTACTCATGTTAGCTGCACGAAATAAAGATTGGTATATACCCGGACGACACTAACCGAGAGTCTCCTTTTGTTATAATTCTTTCCTTGTTGCAGGAAGTAGATTTTACCACAGGCCCCCTAATGGATTTGGCAACAGGGGAAATCAGAGCAAAGCTTATTCGGAAGTATCAAACCTCAAAGTTCGCGGCGAGAGCAAAAGCTAGAATCAAAGAGTTTTCAATCACTGTGAGCAAAATTTACTACTTAGATCCATACAGGAGTGATTATTGGTTGTGTTTGCGACTCCTCTTCGTTCAGCCAGAAAGCTTTAGATAACTTCTATTCGTAAACACGACCAACTTCTTATTCTCAACGACTTTCAACTTCTACACCTACAAATTAACTTCAATTCTCCCAAAACAAAAATTGTTTGCCAACACTCCTTGATCACATGTAAATCCTGTCAAACTTCCATCTCACAAGAGAAATATACCACAGGGGGGCGAATTCGTCTTTGAGGAAATTAACGGGAGCCAGGCCACATGGTCGACTCAACTCTCGACTCTCACGAGACGGTCGTTCAAAAACATGACTAGGGACTTTGGTTACTACTGGCTGAGAATCATAGTCTTCATCTTGGTCTCCTTATGTGTGAGTGCAGTCTTCCACGACGTGGGCACCAATTCCCACGCGATTCTAGCCAGGGGAGCTTGCGGTGGCTTCATATCCGGCTTCATGACATTCATGACCATCGGCGGTTTTCCATCATTCATTGAGGAAATGAAGGTAAACTTAAAATATAAAATCGATCCTCCTTGTTAACCTCTTTACTCATTTTGTTTTGCTTTTTTAGGTGTTTCACAAGGAAAGGCTCAACGGACACTATGGGGTCAGTGTGTATGTTGTTTCCAATTTCGTCTCTTCGTTTCCTTACGTGGTGGCAATATCATTGAGTTCGTCGTCCATCATTTATTTCACGGTGGGATTTCACCCGGGTTTTTCCCACTACGCGTACGCAGTGCTCGACCTCTTGTTGTCCATAGCTGTGGTCGAGAGCTGCATGATGGTAGTAGCTGCACTCGTCCCCAATTTCATGATGGGGGTTGTTGTCGGGGCCGGTCTCATCGTAACTTCTCTCCCTCAATCACAATGTATTAAAAACTGAAAAGCAAATTCCAAATTTATTATACACCTCATGTTCTTCATGTAGGGTATTATGATGGCCACGGCCGGTTTTTTCCGGCTCCTACCTGACCTCCCCAAGATATTCTGGAAATATCCTGTTTCGTACGTCAACTACATGTCATGGGCATTGCAGGTAACTTACATTCGTATTAACTATTAGCAAACAATACAAAAATTTGTGACAGGTGATCAACGCACAGGGCGCATACAAAAACGACATGCTCGGGATTGAGTTCGAGTCCCCATTGGCCGGGGGGCCAAGACTCAGAGGAGAACAAGTGTTGACCTCAATCATGGGCATGTCCTTAAACCACTCCAAGTGGTGGGACCTGGCAGCCGTTGCGGCCATACTAGTGGCCTACAAGCTGCTGTTCTTTGGCATTATCAAGTTGAAGGAGAGGGCTCTGCCCCTTATCAA